TGTTGAATATATTACGCATTCCCTTCGCTTGCACCTCTTCTCCTTCTTCGATGCCCATGATTCTCAAGTTTGGTCTTTTGATGGAGTCAGTGAGTTCTTGCATTTTCTTTTCACAGGTCTTGAGTTGTTTAATTAATAGTTCTTCGTTTTTCCTTTAATTACCATTTCATCTTCAAGTTCTGAGATTCTGTCTTCTGTTTGTTCTATTCTGCTGGATTGGCCTTCCGTTTTGTTTTGCAGTTCTGTTTCGTTCTTTTTTCTGAGGTTTTCCATATCCTGGCAGTTTTCTTCTTTATGTTGTCTATTTTTGTCCTGAGTTCATTTATCCATTTATTCATTGTGTTCTCTCTTTCACTTTGGTGTTTATACAGTGCTTCTATGGTTTCCTTTATTTCTTCTTTTGCTTTTTCAAATTCTCTATTTTTATTGTCTTGGAATTTCTTGAGTGTCTCCTGTACATTTTGGTTGACCCTATCCAGTATCATCTCTATAAAATTCTCATTGAGTACTTGTAGTATGTCTTCTTTTAAATTATTCTTGTGGGCTTCATTGGGTCCTTTGGCATAGTTTATCTTCATTTTGTTGGAGTCTGGATCTGAGTTTCTGTTCTTTCATTCCCCTCTGGTTCCTGTACTAATTTTTTGCTGTGGGGAAACTGGTTTCCCTGTTTTTTCTGTCTTCCCGTCATTGTCCTTGGTGTTGTTACTGTCCCTGTACTGTGTGCAATTAAGTATTTTCTAGCTTGTAATAATAACAATGGTAATATTTAGAATGGAAGGTGAGCTGAGATGGAAAGCAAGAAGTTAAAGAAAAGGGGAAAACAAATATACAGACAAGAGGGAGAAAGCAGAACAAGGTATCAGACAAGAGAGTTTCAAAGGTATAAACAGGGAGTGTTAGTGTACTAATCGACAGTAAGCTGAACAGACATTAGAGAGACAGAGAGATTGAAAATCAAAGATAAAAAAATAAAAAATAAGTAAATGAAAGAAATCTATATATAAAAATGAATTAAAATAAAATGGAAAATAGAAAATTAAAAAAAAAAAAAAAAAAACTTCCAAGTTTATATGCAATGCAGTTTCAGTCTTAATAATTTGGGTGTCCGTCTCAATCTCCAGTCCTGGAGTTGGTGCCTCAGATGTTGTTCTGTAGTTGTCTCATCAAAGGGGATGCATAAAGTAGAACAAAACTACACACTCACACACACACACACACACACACACACACAACACAAAAAAAGCCCCACCAAGTGTCCCAAGTTCAAATGCAATACAGTTTCAGTAAGTTTTTCGGCTTGCAGGTGTAATTCGGTTGTTCTCTCATCAAAGGTAGGGAGAAAAAGAAAAAAAAGCGTCTGGAGACAGTTCTGAGAGTGGTATCTGCAACTGTGGCTTGCCTGCCTGCTGCTCTCAGCCTGTAGCTGGCGGTGTTATTTATGCAGATCTCTGGGGTGAGCTTAGCACTCACCTGGTCCCACAGGCTTTGTTTGCTCAGAGTTCTCCTGTGCGGGAGCCTCTGCTACAGGCTTTCCCCTTTCCAAACACTGGGAAAGGTGACACTGCCCCGCGTTGTCAGGCCTGCATGTTTATTTACAGTTCACGTGGGAAGTGGGTCTTCCCCCCTCTCCTCTTAAGTTTTCCTCCCACTGCCACTTTCAGAAGCTTTCCTGCTCCTGCTTACTGGGCCGTGCTGCTGCTCCTGCTTACTGGGCCGTGCTGCTGCTCCTGCCAGCCGCCATGTTTGTTTACAGTTCACGTGGGAAGTGGGTCTTCCCTCTCCTGTGGAGTTTTTCTCCCTCCTCCACTCTCACAAGCTTCCCCGCTCCTGGTTGCTAGGTGCGCGCCCCGCTCCTGGTTGCTAGGTGCGCGCCCCGCTCCCACCACAGGCTCTCCGGCCCGCCCCACATTTTCTTAATCCATTCATCAGTTGTAAGGTTCAGGTATTGTGAATAATGCTTCAATAAACACCGGTGTGCAAGTGTCTTTATTGTATCCTGACTTACATTCGTTCCGGTATATGCCTGTGAGTGGCATTGCTGGATCATGTGGCAGCTTTGTTTTGAGATTTTGAGACCCTCCATACTGCTTTCCATAGAGGGGGCACTAATTCCCATTCCCATCAACAGTGGACAAGGTTCCTTTTCCCCCAAATCCCTGCCAGTGATTGTCGTGTTCTTAATGATAGCCATTCCAACAGGATTGAGGTGTAATTTTAACGTGGTTTTGATTTCCTTTTCCTTTATGGTCAGAGATGTTGAACATTTCTTCATGTGCTTTTGGCCATTTGGACTTCTTCCTTTGAAAAATTTCTGAATAGTTCATTTGCCCATTTCTTCATGGGATCATTGATTTTTTTCAGAGTTTACTTTTTTAGCTCCCTGTAAATTTTGATTATGAATCCCTTGTCAGATATAACTGGCAAAGATTTTCTCCCTTTCTGTGGGCTGTGTCTTTAGTCTGGTGACTGTTTCCTTTCCTTTGCAGAAGGTTTGTAGTTGCATGCAGTCCCATTTGTCAATACTTCCTCATAATTGCCGGAACTGTTGGAGCCATTTAGGAAGTCATTGCCTATGCCTATGTGTTCCAGTGTATTCCCCTCTCTTTCCTGAAGTAGTTTCAAAGTTTCAGGCCTTATATTAAGGTCTTTGACCCACTTTTTGTGCAGGGTGACAGACATGGATCTTCAGTCTTCTACGTGCATTGTCATTGTTGTGCATATCAGTAGTTTATTCCTTTTTATTATGTAGTAGAATTCCATTGTGTGGATGGACTACTTATGAATGGATTGTTTATCCATTCACTGGTGTACTGACAAGCATTTGGGTGGTTTCCATTTTTTGGCTATTATTGAAGCTTCTATGAATGCCCACATCTTTCTGTTGGGCAAATACTGTGGAGTAGAATTTCTGGATCTTGTAGAAAGATTTTTAACTTTATAAGAAATTTCCAAACTGCTTTCCAGATTGCCTTCTCACCAGCAGTATATGGACGTTCCATTCGCTTCACATCCTCAGCAACACTGGGTAGTGCCAGTCTCTAGAATGTTACCCATTTTAGGCTCCTTGCCAGCTGGTGATGTAGGGCATTTCTTCAGGTGCTCATCAGCTGGTTGTGTCTCTTTTGGTGAAATGTTTTCACTTTTTTTTTTTTTTTACCCATTTAAAAAGTCTGGTTGACTGCTTGTTGGTGAATTGTAAGAGCACATTATGTTCTTTAAACTCTTGCCAAAAGTTGTTTGTCAGACTTAAGCTTTGCAAATCTTTCCAGTAGTCTTCGCCTTGCCCTTTTGTTTTCTAAGTGATGTCTTTCAAAGAACATAGTCCTAGAAGTCCTACTGAGAGACTTTTCTTTTAGACTTTGTGTTTCTTTTTGATTTTTCTTTTTTGTTGTTGGTTCTAGGATTGAACCCAGGGCCTCGTACATGCTAAGTGCGTGTTCTACCACAAAGCTACACCTCTGGCCTCTTATTTGTGCTTTTTATATCCTGGAAAATCACTTATGTTATCTGACTTCATAAAAATTTTCTCTATTCCAGAGGTTTTGTGGGTTTAGCTCCAAGCTATAGCTCTATAATCCATTTTGAGTTAACTTCCATGTATAGTAAGAGGTAAGGGTAGGGTTCATCTTTTTCCATGTAATTCAAATTATTCCAGCACCATCCTTTTCTTTATGTGTTGGCACTTTTGTTGAAAATCAACTGACCGTGTAATTGTGAGTCTATAGTTAAGTCTTAAAATCAGGTAATATACGTTCTACAACTTTGTTCTTTTTTGAAATTATTTTGGTTATTGTTAGGTGTTTTGTATTTTCATAAAAATTTTATAGTCACCTTGTCAGTTTCTAAGAAAAAAAACTTTCTGGGATTTTTATTAAGAACACAGCAAATCTCTAGATCAATTTAAGATGAATTTGAGTCTTCTGATCCTTGAATATGGCATACCTCCCTGTTGATTTGGATTTTGTCTCAGCAGTGTTTTAAGAGTTCCTGGTATGCGAGGCTTACCCACTGTATGGTAAATGTCCTTTAAATGTGATTTTTATCCAAGGCTGCTTGGATATCGAATGGGCCAATCTTTAAATCTGAAACTTGGTCAGACTTAAGACACTATAGAAGTAAATTTTACTTACTGCCTATTTTAGTTTTCATCCTGTGCTTCTCTAGTAAATTTAACTTCTTAATCTTTAGATGTATACCCTGTCATTCTTTAGTATTGAATAAAGTGTTAGACTTGTCAGTGATAAAAATATTTCAGTTACCCATTCCTTTATAGTTTTTCATGTAAATACTAAATTAGGCCCTTCTAGTCATTGATTTATCATTTGACCTTTCCTTACATATCTGTTTATAATAGTACTGGATTTTTAATGTAGGCGATTTCAGCTGGTTAGTATGGAACAGACAAGTCAGTCACAAAGAAGTGAGAGTTTTGCTGCCAGCCCAATTTTTAAAATCTAATTCCTAAGGATTATGATACATTTCCCCAAGAATTTCGTGAAATTAGAAATACTAGCCTTCAAAAGTTTTTCTATATAGAAAATTTTTCAGTAAATTCAAAGAAATAAGGTCATTTGGGTGGTTCTTAAACTCCAGGCCCAGTCTGGACTCCTTACTATGTGGTTTATCTTGGGCCTCTCTTTATAACCCTGGGTTGCCTTCACCCAGTTTTACGAACTCTAGTTTTGGAAATTTGCCTCAGCTTTAAAATCTGTAAGTTTAAGGAATATAAATGGATTTTGCTCTTAAGTAAAAGAAAATGTAATTAGGACAGTGAATCTGATACTCTCCTAATCTGTAATGCATTTAGAGGTCAGTAAGTGAACTTTTGGGCTTTCTGATCCAATTTCCACACCCTCCCCCATGGGTGGTTTGGATTTGGTGGTGTGGGACTGTGTGATGAAAACTCTGTAAGGAAAACCAGACTCCCTTTAATCTCACTGCCCAAGAGACTAGGGACATGTTTTTTCTTTTCCCTTCATTTCCTTTTCTTTCCTTGTTAGGATGATGACTTTGAGTTTACTGGCAGCCACTTGACAGTGAGGAATGGGTACTCATGCGTGCCAGTGGCTTTGGCTGAAGGCCTAGACATTAAGCTGAATACAGCAGTGCGACAGGTTCGCTACACAGCTTCAGGTATGTGACTGCTGTGCAGCTAATAAAGACTGCAGATGGAGCTCCTTACAGCATACTTGCCAACATTTTACAAGGCTCCTAGGGGAAACGATTGGGCCTATAGGAGACTGGAGGTCCTTTAACCCTCTTGTTCTATAAATCAGAACATTAAGAGTTTCCAATTTGTGTGTGTACTTGTACAGCATTAATGTAACAGCCAGTTACTTTGGGTCTAATTTTGCTAAGTTATATCCATAAATACACAATATAGGCCCTATGCCACCCCTTCTGTTTTAATATCAGCCTGTCTTTGGATTCATTCTGACTCTTCCTCTTCAGGGACTTTTTTGTTCAGCTGGTGCCTAGTTCTTGAGCAGTCCTGGTAGCAAGTTGACTTCAAAGATGGAATTGCTCTGTGATTTCTCTATCATTGCTGGTTTCAGGAGTGCAGAGAAGTCCTTTGGAATTGATAGCTTTGAACTTGTGAGGATAGCTCATCCCCTCCCCCTCTGAGGCCCATGTGACTGCTAGGCATGAGAGGTAGAGAAGAGTCCATCGGCTGAGGTCACCACAGCCACTGAGGCAGCTTGCCATTTAGTTTTCTCATCAAAGGTAACTTTTGGTGATGGTATTGAGAATGTCTGTGGCTTTAAGTAGTCTTTTATAGACAGATGGAGAACAGTGAGATAACTAGTCATTTTCTCTGGTTCTACAACCATAGAAAATGGGCATGTACTGAGTTCTTATACTTTTTTTTTTTTAGTTTGAACTCAGGACCTACACCTTAAGCCACAGCCCTTTTTTGTGATGGATTTTTTCAAGATAAGTTCTCTTGAACTGTTTGCCCAGGACTGGCTTCAAACAGCGATACTTGTGATCGCTGTCTCCTGAGTAGCTAGGATTACAGGTGTGAGCCACCAATGCCCAGCCTGAGTTCTCATACTTATTTTGAGCTGTACACATACATTATATACACTGTATGATGGCATATATTATATATAACATATATACATATATATATATACATACATATATATACGTATATATACGTATATATATATATATACATATATACGTATGTATATATATATATACATATATATACGTATATATATGTATATATATATAATTATATAAGTAAACATTCATTTACAAAAACACCAATGAAACGGCCGGGTATGATAAGGTATGCCTGTAATCCCATCTCCTGGGAGGCATAGATAGGAGGATCCTAGTCCAAGGCAGCCAAGACAAAAATAAGAGACTCAGATGGTTGTTGTGGTGACTGACACATACAATCCTAGCTACTCAGGAGTGGAGATTGGGAGGATCACTGTTAAGACCAGCCTGGGCAAAAAGTTTGTGAGAGCCCATCTCAACCAAAAAAAAAAAAAGCTGGGTGTGCTAGCCTATGCCTGTCATCCCAGCTACAAGGGAAGCACAAATAGGAGGATCAATGTCCAGACCAGCCTAGGCATAAAGTGAGACCCTATCTCAATAATAGGGAAAGCAAAAAGGGCTGGGGGTGTGGCTCAAATTATATGCCTGCCTAGCAAGCATTTGGCCCTGAGTTACTCCCTTTATCACCTCCTTCCTCCCCGCCCCCAAAAAAAAATGAGGTAAAATAGTGACATCATTTCTGAGGTCAGCTTTAAGCAAATGATGTCCTGACAAACTAAGCACTATGGTGCACTCTCAAAGAGCACTCTCTGCAGTTAGAGGCCAGGTCTTCGCATCAGTGATCAGGCGGCTTCCCCACGTGGAAAGGCGTTGGTTTACTAGAGACAAACACTTTACTCTTGATTTTGATGTAAGTTTCTTAACTTCGGTAAGTGGTAAGAACCTTTCACATGGAGACGAAGGTCAGAACTCCACACACACCAGAAGGCTTTAAATCCCGAAGTTTGTAGCCTGTGCAGCCTCAGACTCACTTCTCCATTTTTCTGTGTGAAATGAGTAGACCCTGGCTCACAAAACTAGAGGAAATGGCATGGAGACCTGTTGTGCGCCAGGTGCTCAGCACCCTCCTTCATGCTGTCCTCATAACCAATAAAAGTCTCTCCTACCTCCCTCTCCAGGATGTGAAGTCATTGCTGTGAACACTCGCTCCACCAGTCAGACCTTTATTTATAAGTGTGACGCGGTTCTCTGTACCCTTCCCCTGGGTGTGTTGAAGCAGCAGCCACCTGCTGTTCAGTTTGTGCCACCTCTTCCTGAGTGGAAAACGTCTGCTGTCCAAAGGATGGGATTTGGCAACCTTAACAAGGTGACATGCTACTGGGTCCCTCCCTCTGAACTCCTGATAGCATGCTTTTGGTTGTGCTTGCCTGTGCTCTCAGCTGCCTCTGATCAAGGCCTCAGAACCTGATTATATTCTGTAGCATCCATAATCACTCAGTCATAGAGGATCATTTTGCAAACCCAAACCTACACAATGATGGAGAATCATCAGTGTTCTAACAAGTCCTTCTATAACAGGGATCTCCGGCTTGAGAATTCTTAGAAGTACTCAGCAAGCCAGGCACTGGCAGCTCACATTTGTAATCCTAGCTACTCAGGAGGCGGAGATCAGGAAGATTGCAGTTTGAAGCCAGCCCCAGGCAAATAGTTCATGAGACCCTATCTTAAAAAAAAACCTTTCACAGAAAAGGGCTGGTGGAGTGGCTCAAGGTGTAGGCCCTGAGTTCAAGCCCCAGTACTGCAAAAAAAAAAAAAAGGAACTCAACTCAGTAAGTACTTCTAAGAAAGAAGTACTTCCTGTTGGGGCATAGCATTGCATTGCTTCAAGATACCCATGTTGTGTGAGACTTGTCACCAGCTCACATGCTCCTTCTCCTGGTAGGTGGTGCTGTGTTTTGACCGAGTGTTCTGGGACCCAAGTGTTAATCTGTTTGGGCATGTTGGCAGCACGACTGCCAGCAGGGGTGAGCTCTTCCTCTTCTGGAACCTGTACAAAGGTAACTGCTTTCTAGTTTTCATGTCCTCTCATATCCTTACAGAATTAGGGGTTTTTCAAACCTCTGTGCCTTAATTTTTCTTTTCATTCAATTAGCAATTCTTAAAATCTGTTTGAGGTGTCAGGAGAGAGCACATAGAGTCATCTTAGCCAGAGGGACAGGCTCAGAGAGGCTTCCTGGAAGGGGACTTACATTCTACATTCTTGGGCCTTGCAACTGGTCCGTCTCATATTCAGTTATTTTCACCTGTGATTGATCTGCTCTTAACTCTATATAGATGCAAAGAAAGTATTTATAGCCTACCTTGCTCCAAGAAAAGGCTCCAGAACCAACATTGTGTGGGTTATGGCTTTGACAGTGGGGCCACACACTGACCTGCCTTGCCTCCTGCCGCCTTCCTCCAGGTTTCTGACTCCAGAGTGCTGCTTTGTTCCCTGTGCTGTTCTCTCACAGCAGCTCAGTGTTTTTCCCTTCCTCCATCCAGGCCCATCAGACCTTGTCAGAGTCGGGCCCATGGTGTCTCCTAGATCTGCACACTCCTTTCCCACTGTCCAGCCCCCAGCTCTAGGCATACATGTGCTCTCCAATCCTGGACAGTGCTTTCTAGTCAGGGTGTTTTCATGTACTGTGACCTGGGCCCAAGGTGCCTTTTTTTTTTTTTTTTTTTTAATTACTCTTTCCCTTCCTAACCTGACTCATTGTACTCATCCTTCAGGTCTTACATTGAGTGTATTTGAAAAGGGCCTTTTTAGGCCTGCCTTAGCAGCCTAGCAAGCACAAAGCTGAGTCTGACCCAAAGACATTTCAGGACACACGTGTTCCCAACTGCCTGGAATCTGAATTAAGTCCCTATTTTCTTTTTCATGTAACGATCGAAGTTCACAATTATGTCTGTGTGGTTATTTTCCTGTTGTTGTAATGAAATATAGTGTATGTCTTTTCTGTTTCCAAGATCTAGGTAGTCCTCTGCCTGTCCTAAAGTCTGTTGTGTGAATATTCACTAAATGGATGACTAAAACAGTGACGGGTGTCGAGGGGCTCATGGTAGCTAAAAGGAACATGACCATTGTCAGGCGGTTAGGGCTAGGAACTCTGCCTAAATACAGAGATGGTGCTCATTTCTGTCAGTCAAGGCTGCTGTGTGTTAAGTTGTAAGCTATGCAGTGCCTGAATCACACCTGACTCACTGTATTCTGCCAGTTTTAGCCAATTTCTGGGGATAGAGTTTAGAAACTAACTTGTTTGCATCATTTGAGTGGTGCTGCATTGCTCATCAAATTTCACAGCACTGAGAACAAAGCGTGGCCTGACAGGGAGGTTTTTGAGAAAACTTTGTAGAAAAACATTAGAATTGTTCTTTCTATCTCCCCAGCTCCAATACTATTGGCCCTCGTGGCAGGAGAAGCGGCGGGCATCATGGAGAACATAAGTGATGATGTGATCGTTGGCCGGTGCCTGGCCATTCTCAAAGGGATTTTTGGTAGCAGTGCAGTGCCCCAAGTAAGATGGTGGGGGACAAGCAAGGATCTGGCATACTTGACATGTTTGTGGCCTGAGTTCTTGGCCAGGATCCTTCCTGTTTCAGACTGGGGATGTGTGCTGGGTTTACATGAATTGTGTTGGGGCTCGTTATCCTTTTCCTCCCCCACCCCACCCCCAAGTTGGGAATCTGCAGGCTGCTAGATGCATGTCTCCTCTGCCTGTGAAGTCGCCCTAACCCTGCCTTTTTGATGAAGTGGCCAGACTCCAGTTGAAAACCTAGGAATTCTTAAGGAGATCCCAGTACTTTTTATTATTTAGGCCCACTCTTAATACTTTTTACCCATGTGATTTCTTTGAAACATAATCCACATGAATTTACAAAATAAAATAAAGATCAAGTGCTCCACACATCTCTTCTGATTCATAGAAAAGGCACCGTTGAGGCTTCTGGTCATTTTGCCTCCCTGTGTCACCTGGCTCCCTTTTACATGTGTCCTGCCCACCACCACTGGGTTGGCCTGGTATCAGTAGCCAATAATGACTCTTGCTTATGGTTCTTCCTTTAGCCCAAGGAAACTGTGGTGTCACGTTGGCGTGCTGATCCCTGGGCCCGAGGCTCCTATTCCTATGTAGCTGCAGGATCATCTGGAAATGACTATGATTTAATGGCTCAGCCAATCACTCCTGGTCCCTCAATTCCAGGTGCCCCACAGGTGAGAAACTAAAAAACTCTGTCTGGGCCTATTTGGGAGGAGGCCAGGATCTCAGGGTAGAAATAATGTTGCTTTTTTAGATTTTTAGTGACTCTTACAGGTAACTAAGAGTAAAGGGAGGAGCCACATTTGTGTTTGATTTCCCCTATTTTTGGCTTTGTAAATATAGGCAGTCTACATTTAAAATAAGCGTCCAGAGCATGTACAAGTCAGTAACTTCTCAGTTTTTCCTCTTAAAAAACAAAACTCATTCTTAAATTGCACCTCATTTTGTATGGCTCCTAAGACTGTTACAGGGTCTCACGTGCAGTGATTGCCCGAGTAATAGCCCCGGGTCCTTCCTTATCTGGACTCTGCCAGGCCTGTTCCAAAGAGCAGGATTCTTCTCTGAACTGAGAGTGAAAATGTTCCTGAGCAAGGAGGAGTGTTCTAAGCTGGGCACCAGTGGCTCATACATGTAATCCTAGCTACTCAGGAGGCAGAGATCAGGAAGATTGCAGTTCCAAGGCAGCCTGGGCATCACAGAAAAGGACTGGTGGAATGGCTCAAGATGAAAGCCCTGAGTTCAAACCTCAGTACAGAAAAAAAAAAAAGTTCTACTTTTTGTGGTTCACACTACTTAGGATCCCCCTCCTAGTCAATGGGTACTACATGAGGTCTGGGTGAGTAAGAACGGATGCACTTGGTAAGCGCACACACCCCTCTAGAAGTGAGTTTCCTTGTCCCCTTTCTATTCCTATCAATCAACTCTAGGAAAATGCTTACCAATAAACAGGTGGAATGATGAACGAGTAATTGGGGGAGGAGCACAGGTATTTGACATTTCAAACACAAAAATAAAGGTTTATTTGCAACCTCATTTTTTCCTTCCTGAAATAGCCAATCCCACGACTCTTCTTCGCTGGAGAGCATACAATCCGGAACTACCCAGCCACAGTCCATGGTGCTCTGCTGAGTGGGCTGAGAGAAGCAGGACGCATCGCAGACCAGTTCTTGGGAGCCATGTACACCCTGCCTCGCCAGGCCACACCAGGTGTCCCTGCACAGCAGTCTCCAAGCATGTGACAGATGCCTTCTGAAGGAACAGGCCTGGTATGTCTTTTGCCATGTAAGCAAAGCTCTTCTAGCAATACCAGATCCCACTGAGAAACTCCTGCCCTGGCACCAGGCTCAGCCAGCAGCTGCGGTGCTCCTGAGTCCATAATGGAGACTGGCTCCTTTGACTGACAGCACAGGGAGGAACCTGTCCACTACTTTGGAATTGTGTTCTTCATAAAGACAGAGGCAAGCAAGTGCTGCGAGATGTCTTAGTCTCTCAGTGTTTGGTGTTTTTTGTTTTTTTTTTTTTATATTTTGAGAATAAAACTTCATATAAAATGAGTCCTACCTTGTTTCATCTTTGGATTGTGTATTACTCCTTTGGAAATGCCAATTTTATCTTATAACAATAGTAATATTACATATTTTCTCCATGTTTAAATGAGGAGGATGTTCATATATAGGTAAATGGTTTGGTCAGGTAGGAAAATAAGGTTGGGGGAACCACTCATGCAGCAGTGGGCTTTCTTACCAGTGGGACTTGACTTCCTGCTGGCACTGTATGACGATGTGCCAAGAGGAGACCTGGGATGAATCAAGATAAAACAAGGCTCATACCAAAGTTTGGGCCTCTGGTTGACCTCTCTGCCTTTATTTCCAGTATGCTCACTTTCCAGTTCTGTTGATTGACTTGGGAAGTATTACAGAGAGGATCAAAGACAAGTAACTTAGCTCATATAACAAATACCATACGCTTAGTGGCTTAAAACAATAGAAAGCTAATCTAATCATTTTGCTTTTGCAGTGCTGGGCATGTAAGGCTAAGATGTGTGCTAAGTAGACATCTGCCACTGAGCTATATTCCCAACCAGACTGATGGCCATTTCATGTCCTTGTCGTTATCTTCTAGTGGCCTTGTGTATTGTCTCCCTCTGTAAGGCTACTTGTAGAATTCTTTAAGACCCACCTAGATATCTAGGAGAGTCTCCCATTTCAGCAGGAAGGGGACAGCAGTGTTCCTCCTAGGGCTCCTCGTAAACTAAGTACAAATGCACGTAGGAAACCACATTGTACTTGGGTTAGTCAGCTCCTTACAATTAGTCTAAATGAGGTTTTACTGAGGGACATTATACTTGAAGTCTAACTGGAAGATGTTTAGTCCTGGAACAGTGCCAGCAATAAAAAAAAAAAAAAATCCACTGAAAAATATGTGACCATGATGGGAAGGTAAGACCTGCAAGGTGGAAAGTGTGTGTGTGCTGTAGAGTGCATCCTAGATCCGAATCCTGGCTCTGCCACCTGCGCTGTTACCTGAGGAGCGTCATAAGGATGTGTGGTCTCATCGGGGGTGGTGCTTTTAGAAGTTTTTCTTTTTTAATAAATGGCACAGGCAGCTTAAGAGAAAGCTAGATGATCATTTTTGGTGGTAAGTCTAAAAATAAACTAACAAAGAAATGGCTGGGGATCCTAACTCTGGTTCATTTATGCTGGTTGTAGGCACAGCCTTCTCCAGGTTCACATTTCCAGTTCTTAGGTATTTTACCTGAACTAGTGAAATACACCAGCTGGACCAACACAAGGAAAACATCAACAAAACTGGCACCACTGACTCACACACGGAGCATGTGGAAATGAGGGAGCTTTATTGGTTACATATTGTGCTGCAGCGCCAATAGCATTAGAGCTGAAGGATACATGCAGACAGGCAGCTTCAACTACACACACGCACCCCAGGCGCCCTGAACTGCTGCCCATGGCACTGCCCTGGTTTCCCTAGGTTCTGGCCGCCTTGGTCCCGTGCTTAGAGCGGGAATGTAAAGCTGCTGCACCTAGACTCCAAGGGGCAGGGCGAGGCCTGAGCACCTGCCTGAGCAAGCACGTGTGGACCGACAGAGCCTGACGCCCCAGCAACGGGGCCTGTATAATGCAATAACAGTTTATTTGAGGGCTATCTTCCTAGCCCTCCCAATCTTTAAAATACAAAAAAATAGACTTTATTCTTTTAAAAATACATTCCATTCAGTACATGTTCTGAGCTGTGAAGCAGCAGGAAAATAGAGCCCCTTTCCTGTGATCTTGGTTGAGGCATGGAGGAGAACCCTGTGCCCACTTGGGATAGTCAGAATCCCTACAAGCAGCTCTTCCAAAGCAGTCTTGTCAGAGAAACAAAAGAAAACCACGCCAACAAAGGGAGCAGGGACCCAGCCTCTGGGTCTCTGTTCCTTCACTGGGAAGTGGCAGCACTGGGCACTGACCCACTAAACCTAAAGAACTAAAATCTGCCCCAGGAACACTATAGGCCCTGCCCCCAGCAGAGGGGCTGCCGGTGTGCAAGCTTGCCTGCAGCTGAGACTGGAGTCCTCGGCCCCACACAGATCACTTTAACCCACATGCTACTCAGAAGCAAACCTGCCACAGCTTTTTTGTTTCCAACCCCTGCAGCTTTCTCTCATCGTTTTAGAACCAGATTGGCAAGACAGAGTGGCAGGTGGGAGACACTAACTCCTGGCACTTAGCCAGTTCTACTTCCTCTAACCAAGCAGCTCTGCAGCACTAGGTTCCCCAGCTTTATGGGGAACTCCCATAGCCACACACCTGCTGCTACAATACAGAGTCAGAGCCAGGCTGCAGAAGAGGAGCACTTGTCTTAAGTGGGGTTATTGGCTGGGACCGAGGGAGTATTTGGTTTGTTTAGACAACTATTCAACTACCGGGTCTCTTCCTCAGAGGCTTCCTCCAGGACCCCTGATCATGAGCTCTGGGTCCAAATGGCCTCATTGTGGTTGCTTTTCAGAAATGTGCCTTTTAACTTTGGAATCTTAGAGTCAGCCAGCCAGCCATGTGAAGCCCAGAGGAACTGAGCCTCCAGCAGTCACTTGCTAGTACAAATGTTACTCTCTGCAATGGTGAGGACATTTAAAAATAACATCTACTTTACAGCGGTTCCACAAAGTATGCAGATTAAAGAGACAAATACTTATCCTGAAATAACTGTTACAATCAAATCCTATTGCACTCAGATTTCAAAATGGCAGTCCCCACACAGCTGTCCCTTTTCCACAGAACATTTTGAGAAGTGGCAGATGTTGGTGCTGCTGAAATGTGGAAAGAGCCAGACTTTGGCACCAGGAGCTACAGCACCAGAATCCAGGGCTCCAACACCCAAAGATGGAAATTATTTGCGAGATCTTTTGTGGCTTGGCACCCTTCTGTTTCCATCAGCAGAGAAAAGCCACAGATCGAATTTCCTATAACATCAGTTGACCACCATAGAGGTCAATTTCCTCTGAGCTCTCAGGGTTGCCAATTAGTGAAGAATGGCACAGAGCCACTTTTAAGGTCTGCAGCCTTGCGGGAGCAAGCTGAAAAGCAGCAGCAGAAAGAGATTCCCAAAGTGTGCATCTGAGTCCCGATGTGGAGAAAGAAAGGCAAGCCACATGACAATGCCTTTAGATTGGCAAAACTCCAGCGAACAGAAGTACGAGCAAGAAAGTCCTGTCCCTGAAAGAAAGGTAGGTGCTCCACACACCTCCTCGAGATGGCAGAGTCTGATGCAGACAAGGGCAGACATGTGCCCATGCTGAGTGGGGGTGGGAGAGGCCACTCACAATCATCCTGAGGAAGTCCTGAGTCTTCCCTGTCACCAGGAAATTAATAGGAGGCACAGGCATAGGAGATATGCAGACTGTTATGGAAGGTACATGGTCTGAAAGCCAGGGGTTATGTGTGGCACTGGCCTTTCCCAGTGCCACACATAACTAGGAAAGGCCAGTGCCACACACAGCCTCAGAGACCATCCAATCCCTTCACTTCACAGACCAGAAACAGAGGCTAGGGAGCTTGTCTGAGCTCATCCCCCATGAAAAAGAAATGTGAGGAAACGAGAAATCCTGTGGTCCAGAAAGACAACTGAAGGCAGGAGGGAAGATGCTCCCCAAAACCCAAAAGCAAGAACAGGCCTACACTGGACGGTGAAAACCAAAGGATCTTAGAATACCAGATTTAGGGTCCTTAGAGGTCATCTATTTCAAAGAACTCATTTTACAGATAGGGAAAACTGAAGCAGCTCCAGGACGATAATGACTCACCCAAGGTCACACAGCAAGGAAGCAGGCCTTGGGGGGAAAAAAAAACAGCTTTCCAGACTCCTGGCCTAATGCTCTTGCTGTGGATGTGAAGGCAACAGCATCTGCTTTATACAGGTAGCCATGGAGGGATCTCTTCTGGGGATTGACAGACTGTTACGGAAAAAGCAGTGCCAAGAATATACTGTTCTTTCTAACTTCCCCATATGGTTAGTATAAGGAAAACTAATCAATTTTTATTTATGTGGCTTCCTAAAAGGTTTGCTGCACTTTGAACTATAAATCCGAGGCCCTCAATAGGCAGGTTCAGTGACCATTCTTCCAGTGAATCATCTCATGACAGTCTACTTGCAGAGATCAGGGGACCTGCTTCTGCAGGAACATGTGAGCGTGGGAAATAAAGTGCAAGGCGTCCTCTACGGGAGATGGAGGAGGAGGACAGGAGAGAGCATTTAGTCCATGTCTTTCATGGGGCTATTGCTTGTGGAGTGGCTAAAGGGAAATCACTTCTTCCTGTTTGTTTTCTCCCTTGCTGGGCACTTCTAGAAGGCAGAGTATGCTGGCTCAGCCCAGCTCAGTCTAGGGATCTTCCCAAGGTGAGAACGATGAAGTCCAGCCACAAGAGAGAAGGCAGGTGATGCCAGCAGCATTACTGGTGCCCAGGAAAGGAGACCGCATGAGGCTTATGCACTTCTGAGTGCTTTTGGAGGGTGAGCAGAGGACTGGGTTGGTGGGTGGGTGTCACTCCTTTGGGCACCTGCATACGAAACTGATCAGCTAGGAGACAGGTTAGAGAAGTTTCAAACTAAGGGGAGAACTACAGTCCTTGGAGGCAGCACAGACCCCTTCTGTTGTCAAAGTCTGAGAAAAAGAACTCCCCAGGACAAGGAATGGAAGCTCCCTGTTTAGAGCTGGTGGCTGGTAACTAATTGTTCGTGAGTACTTCAGCTCTTGAGGCAAACAAGGAGCCAAGTGGATATGGTAAGGAGACAGAGAATCAGGGCATTAACAACACAGAAAAGGGGCTACTCTATGATACAGAACATCCCCAAGGAGCAGAGAAGAGCTTCCAGCTTCTGTGATATGGTGGTGGTGGTGGGGTTTCTATAGCTCCCATTTGGAGGACAGAGTGGTCCAATGCTACCTTGGGAACAGGGACAAGGTGAGAGGACTCATGCATCAGGGAAATCTGGGTATGGGTGACTGTCGAGTTTGTAGTCTCTGACCCCCTCTGGCCAACTGGCAAAAATTACCTGAGCCACAGCCCAGCTCTCTTGTATCTATCCTGGTTAACTGGCCTTGGATCCTTCACAGAGCAGGAAGGTAGAAGACCTGAGAAGCAGGAGCAGAGGAGTCAGTAGACCTCACCCAGCTGGCTCAGTTTTCCTCAGCACAAGGCCTGGCAGGCCGTAGTCGTTCCTCGGCCCAGACTCGCCCAGGCTCTGGCAACTCCTGCTTCCCAGGCAGTTCAGGTTGCTCTGAGAAATTGTGCAGTGGTCTGCAGCCACCGAGTGCGCAGTCCTCACTTTCTTCCTGTGCCAATACATGACAAAAGTAAGAAAAGTAAGCTGCAGAAGACACCACAGTGAGGAATAAGACACCCTTACCCCCACCCCAATGGATCCCCTCTAGCCTGGCACAGGCAGAAAGACCACAGTGTAAGCACAAAGACACCTTTGCCTGAGTACAAGCTAACAAAAAAGTCCTTGGAAATCAGGGAACCAGCAGGATAGACCAGGAGGCTCACAAATGAACAGAAGCCTAACAGGACAGAGCCTGGAATGGGAGCACAGCGCAGTACCCCTAAACAGCAGCTAGTAGCCCTTGAGTTCTGTGCATGCAGGCTGCATGCTTCTGGGGTGAAAGCCACTTCCTTGGTGGGAGGCAAAAGGGTGCTGAAGAGAAGGCCAAATGGCTCCTCTACGTCCCACCTGTGAACTACGCCTTCCCCCTTTTCTCGTGTCTGTCCCTCATCTGGAGTCTCTCCTCTCCGATGTCCAAAGCTTCAGGGGCCTAAATATTCATCTCTCTCCCCACTCTTCTTCTCCTCATTCCTTTAAAATGTTTCCTTTGATTTCCCAAAGCAAATGGAGGCCAAAGAATAACAAAAGTCTGAGGAAGAAAGGTTAGCAGGGTACAAAACATACTGGATTTTGAAAGGAATCTTGGATTCAAATCTTAGCTTTTCCAGTAATTTACTTGGGTGACTTTGGGTATGTTTTTTTGCATCTGTCACTCTCAGCTTCTGTGTCTGAAAAATGGAGATAATACCTGTCCACAGGGCCACTGAGGGACTGAATGGAACAGCATGTGGAGTCAGGCTAAGTACCAATAAAGACATGAAGGCACTTCCACTTAACCCAGTCTCATCTGCCTTTCTTTTGTCTGGGGACAAGACATGTTTCATTGTCATGAGTTACAGGTCGGAGATACTCCTGAGGCCTCTCCTTCTCACGCTGTCCTGGCACTGACTCTCAAATAAGGCAGATGGCTCTGTTCTGTAGTGAGCCACACTGAACCAGCTATGCCCTCAGTATGGATAATATAATGAGCCAGAAAGCCATTTGGGACAAAAGAAAGTGATGCTCGCATACAAAGCTTATGAAGTAGGCCCAGGGTAAGCACTAGTTCTCATCCATGTAAGGTAGCAGAACAGGAAGAACTTATCTGCCTCCCAGTCTGCCTGTCCTACTTGCACCCAGAGCTCCCCATCAGCCAGCAGCTTCTGTGCTCCCGGGCACTGCTCTGGAGCTTCACCTTCACATATGGAAACAAAACAGAGAAGACAAACTGGAAAAGGGACTTGGGAAAGTCACGCTGCTCTCTGCCAACCCTACCTGATTCCAACAGTTCTGAGAGCTACCAGTTCTACCCAGTGTTTCCCAGCCTGCAGTCTCCCAAATCCTGAGCCATGCAGCCCAAGGCAGAGGGAAGAAAGTACAGGAGGGAAGAGAGAGAGAAGAGCAGAAGGGAAAGACGAGGGACTCACTGTGCCCGTTGAATGGTTCCAAGCTGCAGTTGTGATGGCTTCTCCTGCCCAATTCCGCCGGGTGAGCACCTCTGACACAGTGAGGCTACTTTGGGTCCTTCTAGAGGAGAGCTCGGGGGCATCTCCTGCATTTCCTACCCTTCGCATGCCCTGCTTAGAAAGGTAGGACCTAGATTGTTCGAGTTCTGAGAAGTCTGTGGAAGACCTCTGGGTGTAGGCGTTGGGAGATTCCATGTTTCTCCCTGCCCGAGTCAGGGGATCTTCCGGGGATTTCAAGTCTCGTTTACTCTTCCAGGCATTCCGCACAGTGATGTGTCTGGCATCTGCAGAGCCCACTTCCGAAGGGGCACTATGGCTTTTCCACCTGACTGTCTCTGCTGGGGAGGCATGGCTATTTCTCTCCACTGAATCCAGTGGCTTGATCAGAATGCTGCTTCGAGACACCACTGTTTCTGGCCTGTTCTTTGAGAACCCATCTCCCATTCTTTCTGCTTCTGTGAACTGCAAGGTGATGTCATGTTTGTGAAGAGACAGCTCAAAGGGGGAGCTGACGTGGTTGCTGACAGATGTGAGTTCTGAGGGCCCCACCTGGATGTTGCTGGTGGACGTGTGTCTCTCCCTTGGGGCCTCACCTGGGATGGCTCTAGGGCTGCTGTTGTCAGAAGGATAAATAGTAATGCTGCTTGTCACTTTGTTTGACCCTGGCTTAGAGGTGGATTTCTGTTTATCCAACACAGCCTCAGTTCCAGATCCTCCCATGATTTTTTTCACATCCTTATCAATGATAACAGGTTTGATGACAGCTCTAGACTGCAAGGCCTCCCTGGGGCTAAAGGGCCTTTGGCTTTTTCCCCCAGCACCATTGGCCTCTGGGAACTCCATGGCATTGGTGGTGGCTCTGTTAGCCTTCACAGATTCGTTTTCTATCCCGACATTTTTATCATTCTCAAATAGGGAGGTTCTAGGAGCCCCTCGGGCTTTGGCTTTTTCTCTGGAGTTTGGCTGGAGTTTGAGCTCTGGCTCTGGCGTAATGGTTGTGTTTACCAACTTGGCAGTAACAAGAGATGCCACATCCAAGTCATCATCTGAGTCTGGCTTCTCTCTGCCACTGGATTTGATGACTCGACACCTCAGAGCTTCATGCTGACTGCTGTCCTCCATCACAACTGCTATGGGTTGATCAACTTCTTTATTTGGGGTTGAAAAGCCCTGAAGGATATTCTCTTGGCTTCTGGAACTATAAGGGTACTTCGATAAAATAGGAGCCTTGGAATTTGAGAAACTGGTGTCAGCCTCCAGACCATTGGCAGCTTTTTTGCCCTTAGAGAGCCCTTCCGAGGAGGGTCTCCGAGATGAGGCCAGTGCACCAGTGGCTTTACAACAGCCAGAGTCTGTGGCCTGAGTCATTTGACTTCCACTGCCAGGCACCTGTCCCCTCTTGCCAAAGTGGACCTCAGAGGAGGTGTCAGAAGCCTTCTCAGCTCTGCCCAGTGTGTCACTGGGAGCAGACCCATGGGTGGAGTCACTAAATGTCCGTGTTGTCTTCTCTGCTTTTCCCTTCAGTCCACCTTCAGTGCCTGGCTTGGGAGTTCCCCTCCAAATCTTACTGTGCTCCTGAGCAGCTGGGGGGTAGCGGCTGAGCACTGATGGCTGCTCCCTGGATTTCTTCCCTTCACTCTGAGAGGATCCAGGTGCACAGCGGTCTTCAGTTCTCTTTGTCTCCTGAATCCCATTGTCTGAACCTGCCCCCATGTTGGAAGCCTTGACTGCCCTCCTAGGAGAAGAAGCCTGTCTGTTGCTTAGAGAATAATTTTCGTTGTTGAGAGAATACTCCTTTCGGAACCTTTCCCGCTTGTGCTGAGGAGACAACTCCCAAGATGTGTGCTTGGACCCAAATGTCTCACTCCCCTGAATTTTCAACTTAGTCCTCTCATGTCTGCCCTTGCTGGACAGGAAAGCCTCTTCCCCCTCCACTTCCCCATTTTCTAACTCTTTCTGTTTCTTGATTTGTAGCTTTACTTCTTCCAGCTGGCTGGCTAAGAGTTTGTTTTTATTTTGTTCACTTCGGTAATTATCCTGAAGGTCATTATTTTTGGCCCTCATTTTCTTAAGCTCTTCTTCCAAAGATTCAAAATGTTTAATCTGTGTCTTAAGTTTCTCGATCTCTTGGTTAAGGTCTTTGATTTTGTTGTCTTCCTGATTTCGGTTTTTCTCGTTTTCTGATTTGTTTCTTGTTTCATTTTCTACCAGCTTTAGATAGTCCAGAGTGCCTTTTCTTCTCAATTCTTTGGATGGCAGAGTGCAAGAAATGCCATCTTCAATCCGTAGGTCATTCCTTTCCAGAAGATTGGAGGCATTCCTAGCATAATCTCGGTTCATTTTCTTATTCTGCTCTAGTTTCTGAGTAAGCTCTTTTATCAATTTCTCGTTCTCTTTCTCCTTTTCATTCAAGTACTTTCTCTCACTTACAAAGCTCAGCGTTAGTGATTTCAGCTTTTCTAGCTCTGACACTAGACTCTGCTCAGTCTTGTCCAGGCGGTCCTCAGAAGATTCCAGTTCTTTCACTTTGACTCTCAGTATTTCCAGCTCAGAGGAGATTTTCTTGGTCAGATTTCTCTCCTCATTCAGGCTCAAACAAAGCTGGGTACAGTCATTCTTGCTCTTGCTAAAGGCCTCCTCTAGCTTCTCCAACTCGGCCATTCGTTTCTGAAGCCGCTCAATCTCAGATTTCAGCTCTCGGGTGAGGTTTTCTTCCTCTTCAAGTTTCTCCTTCATCAGATGACACAGGTCCTCTGCCCTCTTGATTTCCTCATCTTTACCTTCAATCTTTAGCACCCGCTGGCGCAGCACCTCAATCTCAGCCAGCATGCTGGAATTGCTGCCCTCTGCCTGAATCACCTTGTCCTGCAGATCCAGGAGCTCATCCTCTGCTTTCTGGAGATTTTTTGTGGCTTCCTCCAACTCATCAAGACGGCGGCTTAGGCTTTGTAACTTAAACCGCAAGTGGCGGCTAGAGGCAGTATCTTTGTAGCTTGTAAACTCGGCCATGTCTACTACAGGCCAACGTGGGCTCCTGGAGGCATCCGATTGCACTCAAGGGGCTGAGAAATGGCTACCTTTCTCTTGGCATCCACAACCTTCTTTGGCAACTGGAGACCATTATCAGTCTACAGAAGGAAAGCAGAAGGCATGTCAGTCAGCAAATCTAAAACCCATACTTTTAGCTCTCTGTTGCAAAAAAGGGCTCCCATCTAATCCTTTTGTCAAGAACACAGCAGCAACTGCTCAAATTTGTTGAATGAATGAACGTGAATAAACACTGGTTCTTTATGGCTGATACTGAACTGAGACCTAGTTTCACTCTGATGAAAAAGGCTACCAGTGGCAGCATGGCAAAAGCATGCAGAAGGAGGCCCCAATTCTAGTGGCAAATGGTAAAGATTTGCCACCTGTGTGATCTCAGGAGCATCATTGACCTTTCTAGTCATGAAGTCAAGTGACCCTGTTTTAATTAGCAAGAAAAGGAGGAAAATGGCAGCTACTGTCTCTCTCCGCTGTTGTTCTGAGATAACGTGGGAAATCCCTTGCTGGTACTATACAATTCTGTCATTATTAGAAGGAAAAAGTTGTGTCTCATGAACTATTGTGACTTAAAAGTTATAATCTAGTCACCTTGCTCTAGAAATGGCAAACTTCACAATGCACTAAAGCAATCTTCCCACACCTGTTTTCAACATCTCTTCCTAAAAGCAGAAGTTTATTGTAAGTGCAACAGGCAGCGTCTACAAAATTTACCATTTGGCCTATAACATTCAGGTTGATATGAAGAAAGATTTGCTTCTTTGGAAACCATTTCATTGCGGACACAAAGCAAATAGATCACAGATTACGCTAAAGAAAGGGAGAAAAGAGAAAATCAAAGTAGATTTTAGTTTTTATATGTCATTTTTAAAGTAGGAGAGTGGGTTAGTGTATGTTCTTTTAAATAAAGACTAATCTTTTACTATGACTGAGCAAAGTAAGTTTATACCAATAAGAACCAAAGTTAATAAGACTATTGACTAGAAACCATAAAATAAATACATTCCGATGTTTGAAGTCATAAAGAAAGGAAAAAGGGGGCTGGCAGAGTGGCTCAAGTGGTAGTGCCTGCCTAGCAAGAGTGAGGCCCTGAGTTCAAACCCTGATAATGCAAAAAAAAAAAAAAAAAGTAGAAAGAAACAAGATGCTATCAACAAAGATTTCAAATGAACCAAAAATAAAAGCTAGAAATTGAAAATAGTGGTCAAGAAGAGAAGTGATGAGACTAAATAGCTGAATAATGGAAGAAGTGACAGATGATGGGAAGGCTGAACAGGCAGCCCAAAAAGGACAGAACAGAGAGTATAGGACAGGTGCTATTTGAAGAGATACTACCTGAGAATTTTCAAGAGTTGGTAAAAAAAATACGGAACCTCATATTCAGGAAGCAATGCCCTAAACATGAGGAAATTAAATTTGTACCTAACATCATCATAAGGATACAGAAGAAAACTACACAGAAAACATACAAAAACAAGTAAAAAAAAAAAAAAAGACAATTGTCTCCATCTGTTTTTGCTACTATAACAAAAATATCTGAAACTGGGTAATTTTTAAAGAACAGAAATTTACTTCCTTATAGTTCTGGAAACTAAAAAGTGTAAGATCAAGGCAGGTAAAGGTTTGGTCTCTGCTTCCAGGATGCTGCCTTAAACACTTGTGCCCTCACATGGTGGAAGGGATGAAAGGTCAAAAAGGATCCAATGCACTCCCTGGAGCCTTTTTTTAAGAGTGAGACTCAATGACCTTGGAAAGACTGCCACCTCTTTTTTTTTTTTTAATTTTAAGTAGGAGAGTGCATTAATATGTATACTTTTAAATAAAGACCAATCTTTTACCATGACTGAGCAAAATAACAAGCAGTTCTTACATTAATAACAACCAAAGTAAGTAAGATACTGACTAGAAACGACAAAATAAGTACATTCCAATCTCTGAGGTCATAAAGGAGAAAGGAAGAAGGCACTATCAACAAAGGGAACTTTATGGCATTGAGTGCATATAGTAGGAAAGACAAATGGTTTAAAATCAATAATCTATAAGCTTGTACTGTGGGAAAGGAGAAAAAGTAAATTAAGTGCAAATTAAACTGGGTATGATGATATCTCTCAGATACTTGGGAAGGTAAAGCAGGATGAGTGTTTAAGCCCAGGAGTTTGAGGCCAGCCTGGGCCACAAAGTGAGGCCTTGTCTATGAATGAATGAAAGGATGAATGAATAAATGATTAAAATTAAGGAGAAAAGAAATAATAAAACTTAAGAGAAGAATCAATGAAATTGAAACCAGGAAATCAACTAAGGGAAAAAAAAAAAAAAAATCAATGAATCCAAAAGCTGGCTTTTTGAAAAGACCAGTAAGACTTTATCAGGCTAAGCAACAAAGACAAGACACAAATTACTAATACCAGAAATGAAAGAGAGCCAGGCGCCAGTGGCTCACGCCTGTAATCCCAGCTACTCAGGAGGCAGAGATCAAGAGGATCATGGTTCAAAGCCAGCCCAGTCCACAAGTCCCTATCTTGAAAAAACCCATCACAAAAAAGGGCTGGTGGAGTGGCTCAAAGTGTAGGCCGAGTTCAAACCCCAGTATCGCAAAAAAAAAAGCCTACAGTAACCATCATACTTCGTGGTGAGAAACAAAGCTTTTGTGCTAAGACCAGGAAAGAGGGAAGGCTGTCCCTCTCACCATTCCTTTTCAACACTGTACCAGAAGCCTAGATAATACAGCTAAACAAGAAAATAAAATGAAGGGTATACTAGGAAGAAAGAAATAAAACTATGCACATGACACATGTGTCGGTATGGAAAATCCCAAAGAATAGCCAAAAAAAGCTACATTGGTATAGTAAGTGATTTCAGCACTGGCTGTAGAAAGTTAGTAGCTATCCTATGTACTAGCAGAGAATAAGCAGAATTTGAAATTTAAAAACATAATGCCATGTTTATTAGCACTCCAAAAGTGAAGTTTAGGTATAAATCTAAACAACATATTAGATTGGTATCTATATACATATCTTGTACTATGTTTGACAAACTACAAAACACTGGTAAAAGATGTCAAGAAAAAAGTAATTAAATGGACAGATTTCCCATATTCATCAGGAGGAAGACTCATATTGTCAAGCTGTCAGTTCTATAGATGCAACATAATCCCCAATCAAAATTCCAACAAACTATTTTATGAATATTGACAAACTGATTCTGAAGTTGATATGGAGAGGGAAAAAACCTAGAAGAGCCAACACAGTATCAAAGAAGAACAAATCCAAAGACTGATAATACCAAATTTCAAGACTCACTATAAGCTGAGTGCAGTGGCTCATACCTGTAATCCCAGCTACTCAGAAGACAGAGATCAGGAGTATAGCTTTCCAAGGCCAGACCAGGCAAAAAGCTAGTGAGACCCCATCTTAATCAATAAGCTAGGCATGGTGGCATGTGTCTGTGTTCCCAGCTACACAGGAGGTTACAGGCAGGAGGATCATGGTCTGAGGCTAGCCCTAGGCAAAAATTTAAAATAACTAAAACAAAAAAGGGTTGGGGACATGGCTCAAGTGATACAGAGCTTGCTGGGCAAGCAGGAGCCCGAGTTCAAACCCCAGTATTGCAAAAAAAAAAAAAAAAAAAAGAAAAAGAAAGAAAAGAAAAGATAATATAAAGCTACAGTATTGAAGACAGGCCATACTGGAATAAAACAAAGAGCCCAGAAAGAGACTCATGTATATGAGCAAAGGCAATGCAATGGAGCGAGGGTAGACTTTTCTAGAAACAGCATTGGAAATGGACATCCACATGCATGTAACACCAAAACTATCAACTCCCAGGAGAAAAACTAGATGACTTTGGGTATGCTAATGACTTTTTTAGATACACCACCTAAGGTGTGTTTCAATCCATGAAAGAAACAACTGATTTCCTGGGCTTCATTAAAGTGGAAAACTTCTGCTCTGCAAAAGACAGAAACAACTGATTTCCTGGGCTTCTTGACATTGTCAAGAGATTGACAAGACAAGCCAAAGACTAAGAGAAAATACTTGTAAAAGATATTTGATAAAGACTCATCCAAAATATAAAAAAAAAACCTTTAAAATTAACAATAAGGTGCAGAGGGCCCTGGAGAGAACTGCATCCTTAAAAAAAGAAAACAAAAAACCTCAACAATAAGAAAAACTGACTTAAAAATGATAAAAGCCAGGTAGCACACATCTATAATCACAGCTATGTGGGAGGCGGAGATTGGGAAGATGGCAGTTTGAGGCCAGCCTGGTCAAAAAGTCAGCGAGAGCCTGTTTCAGCCACTAAGTCGGGTGTGACGGCAGTGCTGTGATCCCACCATGTGCTGTGGGGAGTTACAAGCAGAAGGATTGTGGTCTGAGGGCCAAGCTAGGCAAAAAAACTTGAGGCCTACCTGAAAAACAAAGGGAAAAGGAGGGCTGGGTGCAGCTCAAGCAGTAGAGCACCTGTCTGGCAAGTATGAAGCCTTGAGCTCAAGCCCCAGTACTGGAAAAAAGGTGTGAGGGGGAAAAGGGGCCAAAAGACCTTGACCAAGTAAGAAATACTTGGTAAATATGCACACAACAAGATCCTTAGTCCAAGCTCATAAAGGTAACACCATGCTTTCACTTATATGCAAATATAGACCTAAAAAAATAATAAAAACATGACGATTGTAAAAGGGGCACTATTTGGTGGAGAACCAGCAGGAGGGGGAGGGGAGAAAGAGTGGGGGGAAATATGGCACAAGTTCATTACATATAATGCATGAAAACAGCATAATGAAACCCTCTAAAAACTTAAAAAGGAGAGCATAGGAGAGGGGAAGTTAAGAAGGAGTAACTGAACTGGGGTGAATTGAATAAAAATATATGCATGTATGTAAATGTTATAATGAAACTCCTGTGTAATTAATTTATGCTAATAAAGATGCTTAACATCACATGTCATTTTAGAACTGCAAATTAAAAATACAAGATATCATCATACCTATTAAAATGGCCAAAATTCAAAACACCGACACCATAGAAAGTTGGATTAGATACAGAATCACAGAGACTCTTCAGCACTGCAGGTGGGAATACAAAATAGT